CAGGTGAGTGACACTTGTTCCACTTCTTGGTCCTCTGAATTCCCTGGATGCATTCCTGCTATCTGCCATCTTTGTCAAAGGTATATCCTGGCCCTAGCTGGGCTCTACAGTCAGTTGCAAAACAGTATATTATACTACAAGATTTGGAGCATGTACAGGAAACGTTTCTTTTATTTTTAGGTGCCCAAGATTTGTGGGTGAACAGCACCACAAGGGTCTCTGGACCAGGAAACACATGAGGGAAGCTGTAGTGCTTTTGCATATAAAAAAGACCCTTCAGTCAGTTGCACTTCTTAATGGGAGAGCAGAAAGTGATCCTACCACTTATGGCTTAGTCAGCATTTGGGATCATTGCTTCCTTATTTTCTTGCAAAGACAGCATGAAAGACAAAATGAACTTTGGGAGCTGATAGAATTGCAACATCTACATTTAAAAGTAGAACTGCTTCACTTCTCCAACACACCTTCCCTCCTTTTTCTTCCCAGCCACTACAGCTCCTTACACACCTGGAATCAAATAAGCACAGAGTACAATGCCTTGCTGGATTTCCTTTCCCTGGTGGGGTTTGAGTTTGGGTTGCTTAGGGAGTACAGGTGCCTGAGTTGCAGTGCAATGCCAGATTTGGATTATGTCCAACTGGTTAGTGACTTTTAGAACACAGTAATGTAGTTGGCTGGCTCGGAGCTTCTTTAGTAAGGGCCGATCAGTCTGATCAGTGTTGCTTTCAAGTATAAGGCCACAGAGAATCATTTCCTGGTCCATAAATTTCCTAGACAATACATTTACAGTCACAGCAGCCACAAGGGGAGAGGCTTTAATCTAAGCTTTCTGAATGTGGCAACTCAGCACCATCTCTTTTGTCATCAACATAAGTCATAGTAGTTCAGCTGGTTTAAAACCACCCAGTCTATGAGAGGAATGGGGAAATTGTAGTAAATTGCAACAAGTCTCAAGAATCCAGCTGTTCCATAGTTGGGTGGGGAGATTATTTTTTTTTTAGGTGGGGTTTTTTTGTTTATGTTTCTTTTTCCTTGATCAACTTGATAATGAGACACATCTATCCTAATCTCTGTTTCACAAATGAAAATAAAAAGTAGTTGAGTCATTTCTACCTTTAAAAAAGGACCCTATACTTTGCCTTTGCTCTCAGGACCAGTTTCTGTTGCTTTACCTTAAGAGGAACCACATGGAGAAAAAAAGGCGAAGAGAAGGAAAAGTGAAGTTCATCCACCAAATATACCTGGCTTCTTCCTTAAATGACAGAAGCATTAGAGCAAATTGAAAACAGATACTTGGAAACAAACTACACCAGTACCCAGCCATGTTTGCCTCCAGAGAAAAACAACAGAGCAGATTTGACAGTTTCTTTCTGCTTGCAGGAAATAAAATCCCAGGAACAAAATAAGTAAGGTTTTACGTCTGATCTCTTTCCTGCATTTTTTCCCTAATTACCAAACGGTGTAGATGCACACACATGCCCACTTTTAATAAGTTAATAAAAGGATTTTGTTTTTACAAATACAAAATAAAAAAAGGGGAAATCACTTCTTTGCAGACAAGGTTTTTAGTAACATCCATAAATTCTTAAGAAATTTAGTCTGTGCTTCCTTTTGACCAGTTCCTAGCAAACCAAGCCCTTCCCTGACTCTTTCCAAAGAAACAGCTGGATACAACTCCCACCTGCCATGACTGTACAAGGTTATCACAACTGAGCATTTAAACATTTGGGTCAAGGACCAAGAATGACCAGAAGAATCAAGTATCCTTCCTTAGCCTGGTCTTATTTATTGTATACCCCAAAAAGGTACCCACAGGTAATCAGAAACACAACTTGTTCAGATGTGAACATTAGGTAGTACCTAATATTGAAGCATTTCACATGGCTACGAAGGTGTGATTTTAAAGTGCAAAATGCAAAGTGCTTATTTAAGACAGATATTTCAAAAAAACACAAACCAAAAGTATCTGTACAGCATTTGGGGTCAGCAAAACTTGGAGGACTTGAATTAAACCTTATTGTGGCATCTAGCAATGAAGAGGCAAAGGGTGAGAGGGTGTGCAGGAGGTGATCTCAAAGGAAGCTATCACAGCATGAAAGCACATTCACTAATTTACACAGTGTCACTGAGAACAAAACCATATTCAATGGTTTTATGCTTTGAAGAATCAATCATCTGGCTCTCACTTCAAAGCACAGAGTTTGGCTTGCAACAAAAAGCTCCCACAGTGGAGATCTTCAGCAACTACTGAAAACATCAGCTACCCATCACCATCACAGCTGAAGGAGAAAACTGCAGGAAAAAAAACTACTCAAGAGAATTCCATTCAAGGTACCAACACGGCAGGGGCACAACAGACTGGCAGGCTGTTTACCCTGCTGTAGTCCATAAAGCAGGGACCTGAGTCTACCATATGCAATCTGGTATCTGTCAAAGTCGGTCCTCCCTAAAGCATTGCGTAAAGGCAGGTTTTACACAAGGTCTACTCTGTTTACTTCAGAATGAGGTTTGAAGCACACAGACCCTGCCCCTTGCCCATCTATTCTACTGAGTGAAATTTGAACCTGACTACTAAACACCGACATATTCTGTTCACACAGTGATACTGTGTTTTAGTTACAGGAGTACCACACATAGCTCAGGTCCTAATGTGAGACATTTACTAATCTGAACTTGGCTGCAGTGGTTTTTCCTTTCCATGATTGTGTATTTCACTACCGAGCACTCATTTATAAGTTACCTAAAATTTGTGCATTGATGACACAATTATTTGTAGTTTGTATTAAATAGGGTGGACTTGAAGACAACTGTAAAACATCAGACTAATTTTTCAATTGCTGATCTCATTAGGGTTTTTTTCCATAGCTGGCAATAACTGGCATTTAAAGTATTTTAGTTCAATTCCAGAAAACAGCTTCTTTCAAACCTATCAACAGCAATGAGCCTTCTTTCTACACTATTAGTTATGCAACTCTTCAAGAAGTAAGAACGTAGAACTGCATGAGGGCAATTGCAAACATAAGTAAGGGTGTACAAATATGGGTATCATGGACTTCAAAGTTCTGCATTAACGATTATAAACCGTGTTCATTTCTTGGCACTCAAACATTACCAAATTGAATTTCTTTGTGAAAAAGTAAACATACAAAGTCTTAACACTTCAAAAAACAAATTAAAACTGTGGAAAGAAGGAAAGCTACTTACAGCACACAATAAAATTTCCTCAAAAGGAACTCCAATCTCTGGTATAAATGTTCCAGTTTCACAGACTTTTGTTCATACTCTCATACATTCCAAAATTTGAAGAAGTTGTGGGGAACCCCTTCTCCCTGGACAACTTCATCCTTTTTAAAAGAAACACTTACTATCCCATTACAGTTTTGAAAGCCATTTTTATTTTTTAGTTCTGCCAGAACAAATTTACAGCAGATGGTCCAGGGGTTTGGCCCCAGGGGGAAGGAAAAAAGTGTAACTGATTTGGGGAAATGTATGTGGACACACATACAGAGTAATACAGTTGACATCTCTATTGTGCTACAAAACTGATACTTCCATCTGTCACAGTGTTAATCAACAGCATTGATTAACAACTCTGAAGCCTTCCACCTGGAAAAGATTATGCAAGTGGAAATTGCTGCAAAGCAAAAAGTAGTAAAAAATTAGCATAGCTGTCATTAAATCATTTATCTCGTATGACAACAATTAAAAATTAATTGAAGACTGAACTTTCAGTTTGGAACAAAAATAGCTCAGTGTCCTCATTTTGAGCAACTTTTACACAATCAGTATATACGGTCTCCACTTGGACCTGATGGTGTTGACTGCAATTCTATGACTGCAACTAACCTGACAGCTGTTTACCCACCAAATCCATGTCTCTCACATTTTGGAGACAGGGATGTTGTGTGGGACAGTGTCAAATGCTTTCCACAGGTCCAGATAAATGACATCAGCTGTTCTTTCCTTGTAATCTTGTTGTAGAGAGCCACCAAATCTGTCAGGCACAACTTGCCCTTAGTGGAGCCATGCCGGCTGTCACCATTCACTTTTCGTGTGCCTTAGCATAGCATCCAGGAGGATCTGCTCCATGATCTTGCTGGGCACAGAGGCGACACTGACTGATCTGTAGCTCGCCAGGACTTCCTTTTTTCCCCTTTTAAAAAGGGGGGCTATTTTCCTTTTTCCCCTTTTCCAGTCAATGGGAACTTCACCAGACTACCATAGCTTCTCATAATGAACAGCAGCTTAGACACTTCATCTGCCAGACCCCTCAGGTTCTGTGGATGCATCTCATCAAGTCCTATGGACTTGTGTACCTTCAGATTCCTTAGACAATCTCAAACCTAATCTTCCCCTACAGCAGGTGGTTCTTCATTCTCTTCGTCCTTACCTTTCCTTCTTCAACTCTGGCTGTGTCACTTGCTAGTGAAAACTGAGGCAAAAAAATTGTGGAATACCTCAGCCTTCTCCATATCCCAGGTAACCAGGTGTCCCGTTTCCCTTTTGAGAGGAACCACGTTTCCCCTAATCTTCCTTTTATCACCCACGTGCCTATAGCTGCACACCTATAAGTGTCCTCTTCCCAAATACTCAAGCTATGTAACACAGCTAATAAATTTTGGTAATGCAGCTTATAAATTCTACAGCTCTAAAGCCCCAGTGTAACTAATTTAGGCATCTGCTACGCATCCTGCCCGGCGCCCTCCTACCAGCTGAGGGCCTCATTTCCCACGTACGTATTTCAGCCTGAAAGCATTGGAAATCCTGGTGTTTCGAGTTGGGGGAAAAAAAAAAAAAAAAAAAAAGGCAGAGGAGGAGAAGCCAATAACACACGGTGTGTCTGTGTGAATTTATTTTAATACCGTGAAGGAGAACCACCAGCCACGCACTCAAGTAATTCCCGACCATCCAAGGCTCCCTCCAGGCTCCGCCGTACCGGGTCATCGCGGTTCTCACTCCGATTGTCCCATCCCGCTCATCCTGCCCCGGTTATCCTACCCCGGCTGTCCCGTCCCGGTTGTCCCATCCTGGTTGTCTCATTCCGTTTATCCTGCCCCGGTTACCCCATCCCGGCTGTACCAGCCCGCTTCTTGCCCCCCGGTTATCCCACTCCGGTTGTCCCATCCCGCCTATCCTGCCCTGGTTACCCCATCGCAGTTATCCCACCCCGGTTATCCCACCCCGGTTATCCCACCCCGGTTATCCCACCCCGGTTATCCCACCCCGGTTATCCCACCGGGCTCCCCGCGCGGGGCGGGGCGGGGCCGCCGCCTGAGGGAGCCCCTCCCCAGCCGTTCCCGGCGTGCCCCGCGCGCGATGGCGGCCGCGGCGCTGTGCGGGCGGTGCGGGCGGGCGGCGGGGCTCTGGGGCCGCCTCCGCCGGGCCCCGCTGCCGCCCCGCCGCCGGGCCCACGAGCAGGCGCGGCGGGCGCGGGGCCCGGGCGGGCTGCTGGCGGCGCAGTGGGAGCGCGGGCTGTTCCAGGAGGTGTTCCCGGCGCAGAGCGCGGAGGAGCGGCTGCCGGAGCTGCTGGCGCCGGGCCGGCCGGCCCTGTGCGCCTACTGCGGGTTCGACCCCACGGCGGACTCGCTGCACGTGGGGCACCTGCTGCCCGTCATGGCGCTGCTGCACCTCCAGCGCGCGGGGCACAACGTCATCGCCGTGGTGGGCGGGGCCACGGCGCGGCTCGGGGACCCCAGCGGGCGGGAGCGCGCGCGGGAGCTGCTGCCGGCCGGGACGGTGCGCGCGCACGCCAGGGCCCTGCGCGCGGGGCTGGAGCGGCTGTTCCAGAACCACCGGGAGCTGTTCTGGGAGCCGGGGGCCGGGCGGCTGGGCCGGGCCGAGCTGCTGGACAACGCCCGCTGGCTCGGCCGGGAGCCGCTGCTGCGGTTCCTGGGCGGGGCCGGCGGGCGGCTCCGCATGGGCACGCTGCTGAGCCGGCAGAGCTGCCAGGCGCGCCTCCGCAGCCCCGACGGGATGAGCCTGGCGGAATTCCTGTACCCCGCGCTCCAGGCGTACGACTTCCTGCACCTGCACCGGCACCACGGCTGCCGCATCCAGCTGGGGGGCCACGACCAGATGGGAAACATCATGTCCGGCTACGAGCTCGTCACCAAGTACGGCGGGGCCGGGGGCGGTGCGCGGGGTCTGGGCATCGGGAGACCTGTATCGGGAACAGTGTGGCCAGCAGGACTGGGGAAGAGATTCTCCCTGTACTCGGCACTGGTGAGGCCGCACCTCTAGTGCTTTGTCCAGTTCTGGGCCACTGGGGTCTGGAAGGATGTTGAGGTGCCGGAGCGGGTACAGAAAAGGGCATTTGAGCTGGTGAAGGGTCTGGAGTGCAGGTCCTGTGAAGAGCGGCTGAGGGAGCTGGGTCTGTTGAGCCTGAAGAAAGGCTCAGGGATGACCTTGTTGCTCTCTACAACTACCTGAAAGGAGGCTGTAGCCAGATGGGGATCGAGCTTCTCCCGGGTAACAGTGGCAGGACAAGAAGTCACAGACTCAAGCTGCACCAGGGCAGGTTTAGGTTGGACATGAGGAAGAAGTTCTTCGCAGATGGGGTGATCAGGCATTGGAATAGGCTGCCCAGGGAGGTGGTGGAGTCACCATCCCTGACGGTGTCTAAGGAAGGAGTGGATGTGGCACTGAGTGCCATAACCCAGTAGACGATGTGGTCCTAGGTTGGACTTGATGATCTCAGTGGTCTCTTCCAACCCAGTTGATTCTCTCACCAAATGCTGTGCGACTTGGTGTTGACAGCCCCTAAAGCACCAGGAGCAGAAGTCAACCCTCGAGATTTGGCCTTACACAAAACTGTGATTTGAGAGGAATAATTAATTGGCCTGACCATAAGCCTGGCACATACCTACATTTTGGCCAGGCTTTAAGCGTCTTCTGTGAATTGTTAATGAATTCATAACAAGAAGGATGGATTTTTTTATTAGTGGATCCAAGAACCAAAATCAAATACCCTGAAGCGTGGGACAAAATCAGGACAAAGTCCTCTGCCAGCATGGTGTGATCACACCGCAGTAGAGGCAGTTGTAATATATTGGTCAAGATTGCTCCATTCCTTCTCAAAAATAAAATGAGACGCGACGATGATGTGCTTTTTGCTTATCCACTAAATTTAGTGCGAGTTTTAGAAAGTTTGCTGGAGTATCCTCACATCAGTGAGGATGTGGTAATGCTTCTACTTCAGTACGTGCTTGGTTAGTAGAAGACAGAGAATGGGCACAGAGGAAAAGCCTTTCAAGTGTCCCAGCCACACAAGCAGCTTCAATTAGTACTGAGGGCAGAAGACAAGAGGTCCAGCATAATGAATTTGCTAATGCTGTTGCTTATGAAACTATTTCGAGTATGTCAACTTCTTTGATACACACAAAAGAACTTAAAAAACTGAAGTTGTTTTTTTTTTCCTAAAGCACTCTTTTCAGAACATCTCTTCAGCCATCTTTTGTTCCTCACTTCCTGTCTTATTTAACTGCTTTATATTTAGGATAGGACCTTGCAGACTGTTTATGTTTTAGTCAATTTTACCAAGATTTTTTTTTTTTAACATGTAGTGAATCTTTTCTTTCTCAGGATGACAGGAACAGATGTATTTGGAATTACTGTACCTCTGATTACCAGTACTACTGGAGATAAACTGGGAAAGACTGCTGGAAATGCAGTTTGGCTAAACAGAGATAAGACTTCTCCCTTTGAGCTGTATCAGTTTTTTGTCAGACAACAAGATAATGTAGTTGAAAAGTAAGTTGTTCATCTTGCTTTTTAACATTGTTCATAAAACCTGATCCTAACTGTTCTCTAACGGTTTCATTGGGATATGTGCAGCACAAGCTCCATGTAGAAGTATATGCTAATTATAACTGTACATTCATTAAACAAACAAGCATAACTGACTCTTAAGTATACAGGATAGTGGAACCTATCATATGCATAAGACATTAGCAGGTGGATGAACAAACAAGAGAAGCATAGTGCATTTTGTTTGCCAGTGGGGTGACTCTGTCTTACAAGGTGTGTTAGTTTCAGTACTGAGCACCTCAGTATCACTGAAGTCTCTTGGGCTGATTAATAAGTAACTGCACTGAAATATATATTAATTACTACAAGTTTTAACTTCACATGAGGTATCCAGAAGGACCACATTCTAATTGCAACAAGCTGTTTAATTAGTTATAAACACACAGAGTTCAGCTTTTAGAACTGCAACCGCATGACATTAAAATCTGCATATCCTTAAACAGATTTGAATACTGCCTTGTTAAGAAAAAGCCAAGAAGTTCATATTTATGACTGTACTAGCTCTAGATCAGTGATCTACAAACTTTTTTGATCACAGACTCTTATCAGTGAAAGAAATTTTAAGGATTCACACCCAATAAATGTATATTTATTTTTTTGTAGAAGTGTAATACTATTGAACTTTTAATCCTTTCTTCCTGTACCTCAGTGGTCTTGCTACCTCCTGGGCTGCTGGCACCCCACTTGGGAGACCACTGGTCTAGATGAAAACATGCATAGGAGGCAGTGACATGGTAACAGTAGTGCAAGTAAAAAGGGGATAAAACTACACCATTTTAAGCTCTTGGCAGAGAGTATACAAGGAATTCACAAAGTAGAGGTTTTCAGGCACCAGTTTTAAGTCACTGTTGAAAGCAGTTAAAGGAAAAACTAAAGCAGAAAAAAAAACCCAGCATGAACAAAATTCATATACCTGGTTAAATTACTAGTTCCATAAACCTCTTCAAAGCTAGTAGTAGCCATAACTTTTTCCACTTTATCCACATACCATTTATTTCTATCCATGAACCATAACTCGCACAATTAAGTGTTAAATAAATAGCTGTAATAAGGATTTCTTAAATGGATAAAGAATCATTTTAGTTAGTTAATGAAGTTTGAATGACAAAGGCAGGAAATCTGTAATGATGGCTATACAAACAATATATTTTTTCTCTGGTCGTAGATACCTGAAACTGTTTACCTTCCTACCTCTTGAGGAGATTGCCCACATCATGGAAATGCATGCTAAAGAACCTGAAAAATGGGGCCCTCAGAAACGACTGGCTGCAGAAGTAACCAAGCTTGTCCATGGCAGAGAAGGGCTAGAATCTGCCAAAAGGTGAAGTTTGATTTGTCAAGCAGTTTTGTTTCAGATTTTTTAAATGGTAATGATTCACAGCTTTTCAGGGACTATTTAAATGGTTGTTGCTTGGATGTTAAAAGAGAAAAATGTAATAATTCTGTAGACTTAAAAATTCATTAGGAATGTAAAAAAAATCTGCAGGGCAGTGGGGTACAATAAAAAAAAATGGGGGTGTATTTTAAGTAATTCTGTTACTCTGTAGGCTCTCAGGAGAAACTGGGGAGAGGAACGTGCTTACTTGAGTAGCACTTTGTATGAAAATGAGACTGGCTTTGTATTTTGAATGATCTTTGTTCTCACAGGTGCACTAAGGCCCTTTATTACAGCAGTGTGGAGGCCCTGGAAGAGATGTCTGACCTAGAGTTACAGGAACTTTTTAGACAAGCTGCTTCTGCTGAATTGATGCTTGAACCTGGAATGACTGTTCTTGACTTGTGTCGCAAAGCAAATGCCATTCCAGATGGACCTAGTGGGTAAGTTCTCACGTGGTGCTCTACTCATTTGTAGCAGTGTGGGGTCAAAACTTAAATGATCAGGACAGCCAAATCAAGCAGAAACAGGCTGTGATCTATGTAGGAGTATTAAAGAAGAGGGCAGCACACAACCTCATTCCATTTTGAAGTATATGTTAACACAGCCTTATGTACCTCAGCTGTAAAATCCACATCTGATCAAGGGACAGCCTAAAGCAATAGCCTAGGTTTCCCTACACCTCTCAGACAGAATTGTAGTAGTAGAGGCTAAGGTTAGGTTCAGTCACTCTTGACCTGGACTGAAAATGAAGTGCAAGAGAATTAAAATTTACTCAGTTATGGATCTAACAAAAAAAAAACCCTTAAGTGAACTTTCAGTACTTAATAGCAATAAGTAGCTTCCTTTTGCAAGTAACATTTTTTTTTTTTTAAGGTACCAGAAAATTACAGATGGAGGAGTTTCAATAAATGGG